ATATGATACGTTTAGAAAAGCATCAGAAAACACAGCAGCTAAATGACCATTGATGAAACTCAAGAACAATAATAATAACTGCAGACGTGTAACGTTACTTCAAAACAAAAACAAATAAAGACAAAGGTACTGCTAAACCATGACCACCATGTGTTTTAAGAAAGTACTTTATTTTTATTAACGATATTTACAGCTTATCAAAATGTCGTCTCCAAAGAAAGAAGGAATTTACCTCTCATTCAGATGAAGTCAATCGGCAAACCCTTCTGTATACTGGCTGAGGTTGTTGAAGTGGGAATCTTGAAGTGCTTCAGGTCACTACATCCAAAAACCGAACATTAACATTTTGACTTGCCCTTTCGTAACTTCTGCATAGCTCGGACTACAAAATCGGAGCAAGAAATAATAATGGCGGATTGCTCGAAGTGTTGGGCCGGTAGTTAATGTCATTATTTGGCAGTTCCGCTGCAAATATACGGTGATGTTGTAGTTCCAAAAAAAAAAAAAAAAAAAATCTGAACAGGTTGAAAAATATGACCAAAACAGAATATAAAGATATAAGCACCTGAAGAGAATAATTTCATCTTTTCTGTACTTATAAACACTCCAAATATACAACAAATAAAATTATGTACTACTGCCACTAGGGGGCGACATGCGACAATCGTATCCTATCGTGTGCATTGAAAAAGCTGCTTACCGTGACCCTTTTTCTAATTATTAGTATTTTTTTAGCTTACCATACCTTGTCCTAACCTGACGTTACAAGACGACAAAATCAATCATAAATCACAGCCAATCATAACCGTGCGTGGACTCTAAACACGAAAATCAAATGGATGTAAACAAAATTAAACCAAACATTATTCAAAAAAACACACAATCAGTGACTGATACAATCTTTGTAATGAAATTAATTTGTTTGAGCTTAAAATGATCTGAGCTTGAATATCATTTTGAGAGACTTATATGAGAGCAACAATGAATATTTACCTCAGATTTTGAAATGACATTAGCCAAAAGGAAACGAGGTTCAAACTGAAATCTACAATGATAAGTATTTCAAATACAAAATCCCAGAAATATACAAACCATTTCAAAAATAGAATATTTTGTCATATCGCGGCAGGTTAGTACAAATTATTAATATGTAAAATGTATTTTATCGCGTGTTGTCACGTAAGCATCGGTGCTACATTCCCAAACAAAGCTAGACTGGAAGCCAACGTTAGATTGAATTGCCTCATTTAATTTCAAGGGCCTTTAGGGTTTCATTAATACAGCATTGATTAAAACATTAAATAACGATTCATTTACACAAATATATGACTTTACATACATGGCTAAATACCGGTTGGCTAAGAATTTGTCAAGAGTTAGCAGCTAACAGTTTTTAGCTAGCAAACACACGCATCGGCCCGTCCATCTGAAAGAGAGCGAGAGATGAGGTCTGATTATAAATAACAACTCTATCTATCTATACTTCACCAGTTATTATAATAAGCACATATGCACAAAATATCTATCATAGTAGAGTAGAAAAATGGGGAATGGAATGTTTAATGGTAATAGAGAGGTACTTCTTTATATCTATTCCCTTTTTTTTAAAGTGTTAAGAAAAGCCAGGATATTTAATACACCTCTGATTGTGTATGAATGAAAGAGGAAAGTCACATTCATATGATCGCATGGGATCATTTTAATCTTTTAACCTCTGATACATCCTTTATTTCAATATGTCAACACATAACTGATGAGGTGTCAATGAATATATACATGAACATATGACCACAAAACACACTTTATAATGATAATGAACATATCATATCATACTCAATGAATTAATGTTAACTTAACTCTCAGATAATATTGAAAGATTATTTTCACGTGATTAAACAGCTGTAAAAACGAGCATACCGTGACATCGAGTGAATGACTGTTTTATCGTGTATTATATTAATAACTGATGAAACTAATGATTTGCCATCTCTAGCGTCACTGTAACGTAAGTTAATCCAAGTCGTTTTCGAGGAAAGTCAGTTCACTCGCTGGCCATATTTCCATCGCTTCCGGGCAGGTATTTTTCTCATGCAAATTGCAAAATCAACTCGTATTTGTCTGGAATCTGGAATAACCAGAATATCAGCTGTGCTCTTTTCTTCACATGTTTCCTATATAACGGTAAAGCGTTTCCGGTTTGGTCGAGAGGCGGTGCGCATGCGCAGCTCCAAACGCGATTCACTTACCATTTGGCGATTTGCTCTTTTATTCATAATTATTCCGCGTTTCCGTTTTTCGCATCCATATTAATCCGAGTGAACAGTCTATATGTCTACAGAGATCTTATAGATAACCATAAAGGTCCGCCTGGATCACGTGTGCCTTACAAACCAATCACATCATAGCCTTGACGTCATTGAAACTCTAGAGTTTTATGTCTCTCCGGAACAAAATGCAACTTTATTTTGAAACATGGCAAGGGCTTTTCAAGTCGTACATCCATATCTTAAATTATGTTTACATCGTAATACATGTATAATTTCTATACTGTTTATGTACCCTCTATTCCTCTTTATATGTATTTGTTTTGTTTATTTATTTATTGTTGTTTCTATTCGTATTATGTCTTCAATTTCCAAGGATACACATTTGCCTATATAATTGTTTAATGTTAATAATGTAGGTAAAAGTATTATTTTATTCCATATTTACATTCCTGCAACCAATATTCAGTTGTTACACACATCTGTAACGTCACTGTGTATTTTAATGTTATTTTGAAGTGTCTGTGTGTGTGAGTTTGTGAGAGTGTGTGTCTGTGTGAGTGTGTGTGTATTAACAGCATTACAGAAATGATCACACAACTCAATGAATTCTTTGAACTGTTTAATAAACAACGTTCAGCTCAACCGTGACGTCCAGAGTGACCTTTGACCTCAGAGCAAACGGAGAGAGAGAGGTTTATTAACACGACTCAGAAATACAGTAAACCCGTGACGAGAAACATATCTGCATTCAGCACAATCTCCCAGAATCCTGTGTGTTTGTGTGTGTGTGCTGCTCTCAGGTCACGCGTTTTCTTCCCTTCAACATTTCATTTCAGACATATAATCATATTTCATACCATATCTGCTTTTCATCATCATCATTATTATTATTATTTTAAATCTAAGTTTTGCTAACGGATGAGTTTTGAGATCCAAACCTAAAAGTGAATTAACTGCTCCTGCTGTCAAATACTGAAGTCGTAATTACTATTTTCTGTCGTTTTACCTTTTTATTTGTATTTTTTTTACACATTGTTCTGTACAGATGAGGACGTGATCATGTGACCATGACAGATCAGGGTGTGCAGAAATGGGGAGAAGCCAAACATCTTCTGTCATACTCATATTTCACCTCAAAACTACTGTATATTTATAAATGTTTTGCATAAAGAAAATGAAGTTTATTTTTAGGGCCAGTGTTATATTATATATACTGTATTATACCCAATAAATCCTCATACAGTGAATGTGGGAGCAAAATTTATTCAGACACTTGGACCTGATCAAGTGTTTTCTGTGATTGCTAATGCTATTTTTACACACACACTGAACTACATGAAGCATTGCTTGGTCACTGGTTGAGCGAAACTGGTATTATCTAATTGTGGAGTTAACTTTAACAGATATTCAACATAATTCATGTGTGAGAGTCCAACAGAAGGACGGACAAAACCAGTCACATGTTTTAAAGGAGTAGTTCACTTTTAAAAAACTTTTGCTAATAATTTACTCACCCCCATGTCATCCAAAATGTCCACGTCTTTCTTTCTTCAGTCGAAAAGAAATTAAGGTTTTTGATGAAAACATTCCAGGATTTTCTCCATATAATGGACTTCAATGGGGTCCAAACGGTTCAAGGTCCAAAAGACAGTTTCAGTGCAGCTTCAAAGGGCTTTAAACGATTCCAGACGATGAATAAGGGTCTTATCGAGCGAAACGATCGCTCATTTACTAAATAAATAACAAAGTTTAAGTTTTACAAGCTCAAATGCTCGCCTTGGTCTGTTCTGTGATGTGCGTTCGTGACTCTCCTGTTCATCAAAATGAACGAATCTTTTTCCGAGTCAATTAATTCGTTTCGTTCGTTGAAAGAACCAAACGACTCAGAAAAATATTCATTCATTTTGATGAACAGGAGAGTCACTCTGGTGTCGTTTAAAGCCCTTTGAAGCTGCACTGAAACTCTCATTTGGACCCCATTGAAGTCCATTATATGGAGAAAATCCTAGAATGTTTTCATCAAAAACCTTAATTTCTTTTCGACTGAAGAAAGAAAGACGTGGACATCTTGGATGACATGGGGGTGAGTAAATTATCAGCTAAAGTTTTTTGAAAAGTGAACTACTCCTTTAATAGCATTTTTCTATAGCGAATAAATAATGTGAGGAATGTTGAAGGTGTCTGAATAAAGTTTGGTTTGACTGTATATATATTGTGCATAATTTCTCATATTTTGTATTTTGTGGTGAAATATGACCCAGACATTTCTTCATGAGATTCACTCCGGGTTATCTCTCCCTCCATCATGTCTGTCTCTCAGTAGTCTCACTTGTTTCTCACCAATAGCCTCCTGGAGGCAGAAATGGGCATCAATATCAATATTGTGTGTTTGGCAGTGTGATATAGATGATTACAAGCACCAACCCAAATCAGTGTGTGTGTGTGTGTGTAAATGAGGGTGTTTGGATCCTTGTTTGTATATGTAAGAATGTAAAGGCGAAGGTGGATGTTAAACACTTTCTGATTCAGTGTGTGTGAGTTTAGAAAGTGAATAACTCGTGTGAATCACACACTTCACCTTTATCGCAGGTAGTTCGCTATGAGGGGCACTTGTGTTGCACCATTTCAGTGAGACGTACACAATAGTGTATAAAACAATTAGTGCTGAATGTGATGAACTCACACATACACACACACACACACACACACACACACACACACCAATGCATGTGA